CCCTCCCCCCCTTCCCCAACCTAATTATGTAGAGAGCCACCCCTATCGTTGGGGGCGATTTCTTACAATTTATGGCAGCCATAAGAAAGCAATTCGTTCTTTGAATAAAAAATGTAACCGATCCACGGTTCCAGTTCCTGGCACTAATCTGATGAGTGGTTTTTAGGTTCTTGGTTTTCTTCGATCCGTTTTAACCGTCTTTGAAACTTAAAAATAACTTATTTTAACATATTTATTAATTCATAATTAAGAGTTTTCATCTTTCATATTACGCTACTAATTTTTCTGTGTATATCTTATTTAAAATTAGGATATCAAATTTTTTATTTTTATTTTTAATTAATTAATAACCTAAAAACAGGATCCCTTTCTTTCATCTGAAATAAAAAAAAAAATAAAAAAAAAGCTATAAAATCCTTTATTAGCAATAAAAGACCTTTATTAAGCTATACCAAATATTTATTTATTCTGCCTATTTCAAACATATCACTGTTATATACCATTTCCCAAAATATCATAATTCTATTTATTTTTAATCTTATTTAAAATATATATATATATATATATATATATATATATATATATATATATATATATATATATATATATATATAGACCACATCTCGATTTCCGATTTAAAGTATGGGTATGGTCATCAATCCTACGTTCGGTCGGTGTAAGTTGCCTCCAGTAGGCTGACGTTGCTTATATACCTGGCTGTGGGGAGGAATCTCGGGCAGCGTGGCTTTCCCCTTGGTGGATGGTCACCCATCCAAGTGCTAGCCACGCTCGGCGTTGCTTAACTTTGATTACCTTTTGCAAGGCTACCCAGCTCCCTATATATATATATATATATATATATATATATATATACGTCATTTGATGTTCTTCAATTAACAAAATCTTCTTTTTGTCAGCAATTCCTTGGTGTTATTTTTTTTTTCTATAAACTAATATAGATAAACAATGCACACAAAAATACGCTTTTGTTTTTAAATACAGTACTTCACATCATTTAAAACATCATACATTTCCAACTATAGTGATTCCATAGTTCTATACAACCTTGGAGTGTCTGGAAAAATAAAAAAGATTTTGTCTAAATAAAAAAAAAAAAAACTGAGGCATATTTTGTTTTTATTTAAATAAGACCATAAATAAAAATCTGTTGCGTCCATCACACGACTTTTACTTACCATCTTCTTCTTAGCAGAAATAAGTATTTTCAGAAAAAGGGGAAGTGAAAGTAAAAATTATAGACACTATTTTTATTTACATGACCTTGTGGGTATTTTTTTTTGTTTAATTACCCTTATATATACAAATTTTAATTTTTATATCGATATAATCTGTACAAATAAATATTAACTAATACCAACTATAACATTTATGAAACCGCATATGTTTATGTATATAATATTTTCGGAGTGTGTATTATATTAAGCTCATGTTACCTATGGAAGCCTGTTTTAATCTTTTGAGCGAGCTCGGGTGATCTCGGGCGCGCTCGTATTCCTTGGTTCCTCTATTACAATTATTAACTGTTACGATCTCTTTTTTCTCCTTCAGTTAATTATAAAATTCTTTCATATTTTATATCAAAGATTAATGTGAAATGGTTAATTATTTTAAATACAAATAATTAAAGGTACTTTAGAGGAACCTAATGTTGAAAATTAGCCATTTAAGCCCTGTTAGAGAACATCAATGAGAAGAAAACCTACATTATATTGAAAACTGCTTAATAATACACTGGTATACTGAGTTTAATCAATATCGTTTGTGCCATTTTTGAGTAAAAATGTGTTAAATCGATTATATAAAGTACCACTTGTGGTTTTCCAATTTTTACGAAAATGTTTCTGTAACATCCCAGGATTTTAAAAACCTCAAATACGCAAGTTTCGTACGACTTTTCGTTTTTGAGCTAGGCTGTTCACATACATACACACTCACATACCATCTTGTGGGACTCGTTTATTATGACTCAGAGTACCTCAAAACGTTTATTTCTGTTAAAAACTCAAAATCTAAAAAACTGTTAAAAAAGAGCAATACTTACCCTTACTGTAAATTACATATGTAGGTAAATGATAGTAAAAATGTTTATATAAAGATGACAGGAGGTTTTGAGTCTTCTTCTATCAAAGGCTTCTCTCTTCCAACCCTTCATCCCAAGACGTTCTGCCACTTTTATTTTTTCCATCCTCTTCGATATCTTCGTAGCTCTAGCGGTACTATTCTCAATCATTCGATACACGTGTACGAACCACCTCAAGCGATGTTCTTCTAATATTTCCTCCATTGTTCTCATATCGAGGCACGCTATAATCGTAGTGTTCCTCACACTGGCCCGTCTTGTCTTTCCCTCGACCTTCCTGAAGTACCTCATTTCCATTTCTTTGATCTGACTCCTGTGTTTAGTCATGAGGGTCCAAGATTTTTTTATAATAAGTCGGTGTCGGAATAAATGTGTTTTTATAGAGGGCAGTCTTGTTATGTTTTGCAATTTATTTATTTCCCAGGAAGCCAGTGCTCAGGAAATTGAAGTATCCTTCTGCTGTTCTTATCCTCTCCTTTATCTCACTATCCAGCCATCCATACTCAAACGGGTGGGATCTAAGATACAGTCGCTCACTTCTTCTATTTCCACTCCATTAAGCCTTAATACACTCCGCACGTTCGTTTTTCCTTTATGTCCTCATAAATTTGGTATTGTGTAAATTGATTATCATATATATTTTTCATTATGCTTGTTTTAAATATGTTCTTTTTATAGTGGTCCATTTGCCTAAATTATTGTACACTTTAAGCCAAATATTATGTACCAATAGGCAAATGAACCACTTTTTATTTGCTCTTCTTGGAGTGGTTTAATTGGAGGTTACAATTTCTCCCAAATACGACCAGATCGTTAGCTAGTCCTGTGTTTTTTACTTTTTAGTTTCTTCTAAAGCCCCATCTTCTGAAACGGCCTTATATCTGGTATAGATATTTCGAGTGCGATGTTAAGGGTAATTACAAATGGGAACGGGCTTAAACTTCGACCCTGTTTGATGCCGATACTGGAGGTGTGGAGACATGTTCTGTCTACATGTCTCTGTTTTTGGCATATGCTTAGAATAGGAGAGAATTTACATTTTAATTAATGATCGTTTTTTCATAATCATTGTTTTGACTTGTATTTTTTTTTCAATACAATAGCCTCAATTCCAAAAGAAGTTATAATTAATTAACGTTTCACTGATTATTGAGTTATAAAAATTGCTCACTTTTTTAAGACCAAATAAAATTACTGTCGTACAAACAAATAAAAAAAATAATAATTTGACTGTTATTTTTATTTATTTTTTACTCTTCATAAAAATAGTAACTGATTACAGAACCACTTGGCACTATTTGAGCACGACATGCCTTAAAACTATTGTAATTGAATGAATGCTTAGTACAATAGTTGTACTAATTGCTTTCTGCTTGTGTTATTTTCCATTAAACAACATTCCTTTTCATAAAATATATATGATGTATGTGCGATGTATAATAAGGTCTTATTATCACTTTTTAGTTTTAATAATTATGCTGTACATGGATATTAGAATACAGCCTTATTTCAGTCTCATTTTTTATTTAAACCAAACTAACCTTTTTAAAACAACTTTTTTTTTTTAATCTACTTTTTATTGTGTGAAGTTTATTCATATTTATTTGTATTTCCTACCTTCTCATACTATTGATGTCATGTTAGAATGTATTGTTCCACAACTTTTTTTTTTTCGTTATTATAATTATATTTTGTTCATCAAAAAATAACATAACTATCACGACTATTTTGTTTTTATTTATTCATATTTATAACTGTATTTAGAAAAATACATCAATTACATGTGAACTATGATGACATTACAAACAATCCCAGTTGGCTGTTCTTAGCGTTTGTCTTGTTAGTTTTGAAGTAGAACAAAACTACGAGCAGTTTCTTGTATCTTCAGACTTGTTTGTGGATTTCAAGTAAACACATTTTTACGATTATCTCGAAAACCTCTTCACATTAACTTCTAATATGAAAAATGGTTAAATACAAAAATACGAAAAAATTTGATAAATGACTAAAGGAGAAATAAGAGATCGTAACGGAGAATATTTGTAATTGAGGAACCAAAGGAATACGAGCACACCCGAAAGATTAGAACACGCTTCCATACATATCAAGAGATTAATATAATACGGACTCCGATTAATTTAAATAATATTTGATATGTGGTTTTCATAAATGCTATTGTTGGTATTATTTAATATTTAATTGTATAGATAACAGAGATATAAATATTAAAATTTGTATATATGATACTTAAACAAATAAAAATACCCACAATGAAATATAAATAAATATAGAGTCTATATATTTTACTTTCACTTCGCTTTGTTTGAAAGTACTTATTTCTGCTAAGAAGAGGGTGATAACTGAAAGTTATGTGATGCGCGCACCGCACCAGATTTTTTAGTCTTATGATCTATTGAGACCTTTCGAATATTTGTGCTATGGAAGGAATGGTTATCAAAATTCACTGACTTGAAAATTATGAAGTTCAACTCTAAGTCAACTTTAGAACCAATTTTTTATTTTAATAATTGTTACCTTTACGTAATTGAGGGATATTACAAAAAAAAAATACAAAAATAAATTTTTGATATAAATTATCCTTGTTCTCGAGCTTTTATTGTCCCAAACCTGCGAGAAGCCGTGTTAATATGATCCTCGGAGATAAACATGAATCACCCAGAGATAAAATCTGCCAACTCGCCTACAAGCTCGCTCCGACAACCAGATCCAAAAACGACCCATTCGCTTTTTCACAAATGTCAACGCAGCGCGATTACAATGCTCTCGAAGACAAAATTAAAAAAAAAATCAAAAAAAAATCTAGAGATAAGGGTGAGTTATGGCAAGTTTAATCAGACAAGAAGCGGACAATATTTGACAACGAATCCTATCCCTCAAAATGGATACAAATTGCTCTGTTGAAACGATTACATCTAATGCAGTTAATTCCCAACGACAAGACGTGGAAAAAAAAATTCATAAAATGGATAGCTTACCCTTCCCTGCCGAAACTGGGGCCAAGATATGCATAAGAGACAAATATATTAGCCTCATAACCGCTATTCGTGATTCACGCGAAGCCTGCAACATATGCCGCAGCGGCTGTACAGCCCAACGCTCATCGCTATCCCCTTGTTAAGGGCACTCACTTATTCTTTTAAAACAGAAAATTAAATATTTTCACCGTTTTTATCTCATTTATTTCTTATTATATAAATCATTTTATTTTATTGTTAAAAATATTTAGCAAAAAATAAGTATCATTAGTATACACCAGTGATAACTCTTACATAAGATAGCTAAGATAAGCGGCATAGGCAAAATATGATTTTTTATAAACATAATTATCAGGATCGTCTATTCAGCATACCCAAGTGTAAGGTGACCAGAGGTCCCGCTTTTGGCGGGACAGTTCCGATTTTTAACGATTTGTCCCGCGTCCCGTGTCTTTCTAAAAATGTCCCGATTTTTAGAAATAATGCACAACAAGCTATGGAACTGCAGAACGGCAACAGAATATATGATTTTCGACGGCTCTGTGTCTATTTCGCCAGGATATGAGTTTTATAATATTTTAATTAATTTTATAATATTAATCTTTAATAATACCAAATAATTGTTGAGAACTGGTTATCGAGGACTGCTTATTAAAGTTTGCATTGTTGTTCAGTTGTTAGAATTCAACCACCATTGTTTGGACTTTATAAACAAACCGAAAATGACTTTTAATAAGGTTATTTTTTATTTATTTAGAAACATAATAATCTGTCACATGGACAATAATTATAGTGGTATATTAACACGTTATTAAATAAATATATTGATAAGGAAAAGTTTAAACCTTTGGCCTCAGCAAATTAACTTCATTTGGTACTTCGATTACCTAAATGTTATTATCTCCTTTAATAAATTGTATAGCATTTCCAAAAAATGCTTGATTGTTTACAAACTCCTGGTTATTGAAGATGTAAATTAGATGTTAAATGCACCATCAAATTATTCGCTCTCAAAAAAACTCAATTCTCTGCCTTATTTCAGTTGAATACTATGTCACCCAGAGTCGGTTCTACGTGGAAGGGGCGTTCGGGCTGAAGCCCTCCTCCTAAAATGGTAAAATATAATCATGATTTATGAAAAAGTATTTAATAAAAGTATTCTTGTTGGTCTAATTACATTTAATTTGACATCAAGAATCAATCAAACACCGCTTCATGTAGATAGTTAGTTCCTTTCTTTTTCTTCCGAAGTAATTATTATATATATATATATATATATATATATATATATATATATATATATATATATATATATATATATATACATATACATATACATATAAAAGCATTCCGGCTGTAAGCCTCTACAAAATTAAATCCTGGATCCGTTAGTGACGTCACCAGATTAGCATTTGTCCAGATTATCATTATATCATTACTGTAACACCATATATGAACCATCTACCCTCCCTCCTCTCCCGGTCAGTGGTTTCCCGATTTACCAATGTTAAAGTAACAATTCAATTAATGAAGGATTAGCTTGTTCCCCTGGAAAAGATCCCTTCATTTTAGTAGTCATGCAGCATGACTAGTGTTGTAAAAAAAAGCTTCGTGTTCCTACACGAGCTTCGAATCGAGGCCTAAAGACTCGAGTTTTGAAGGCTCCGGCTAAGCAAGACACAGCTATTCCTGAATAATTCATGATATTTACAACTGTATTACATTAAAAATGCATCTAGTAAATGTGTACACAGGCATATTCACATGAAAACGCTTGTTGAGGTACTGCCCATTAGTTTTTTTTTTTCGGGAACTTGTATTACTTTCTTTATTGAATATTAATACATTCTGCCACGTTGAAGGGTATTAACATTAAGGCTACGTGATTCATTCACACAATATGTACATACAATTAATATCAATAATAAAGAAAAAGAAATATAAAAAAAATAAAATAAGTAAATTTGGTATGCCTGTGTACAAAAAAAAAAAAAAAAATGAAATAATAGATAAAAGCTAAATGAAATTAAGTAAATAAATCACATTCACACCTATGTACAATATTTACATTCACCCAGGGGACTCTGAGTCGTGCCTTATTCCCCGACGTGGAAGCCTAGGCAGGACTCCCGGAGATCCCAGTGCTTCTCTCTCAGCCGCGTCACTGTTATTTGAAACTGATGGAGGGCACTATAGCAACAGACGCTCATGTTTTGAGTGGAGAATCTGGTCATTGCCAGTACTCCAATATATGCATATTTACAAAAGGTCGCGGGGCCACTGCCGTTTTAACCTCTGGGGAGGATTGTAGGGATGGCTGGAGCTAGATAGGGATTGTGCTACAGGATTTGGATGATGAGTGAGTTTCTGGTGAAATTTGGAAAATTTATCTGGGATTAGGTCAATAACAAATGGGATATGAAGGTCATTATGGAGGGTTTTGTTGGATACATAGAAGGGATCATCGACTGCCCATTAGTAGCACTCTTAAATATTTAAATTTGCAGTATTTACACACATATAAAGTTTATTTTTAATGTATGTTCATAAAATCAAGGTGAAATTATATTTTACTATATACATAAAGGCTCAGAATCCAACTATGGACTGAATAGAATGAGCAGTATGAACTAAATGGCTTGAAAATGTTATCATAGCCGAAACGTAGCCACTGTGGAGGGGAAATAAAATAAATGTGGTGAAAAATACAGCCTTTTTTTTATATAGTTTATTTTTTAATTATTTTATTGTAATTCATCTCAGGCCATTGGAAAAAATAAATTAAAGCTTTGCAATCATTTATTGTAGCCAGTTTTGTTAAAAACACAAGGATACTTTGTGACCGAAAAGTAACTCTTGAGGTCTAACATCGTCTATTTAAATATGCACTATTACTTACGGAACATTCTGCATGTACAAGAGGATGCTCTCATACTCTATTGGCTGTTAATCGATGCCTAAGTACTAACAATGGTAAATTCCCATTCCAGGCCTCTATTGGAGTCATGCGGAATAACATCTAGCCAGGAATTGAAACCTGAGCTGAGAGCTATTGATAAATTATTCACTAGTCGACCTTATAGCTCATCCCTAAACTGAATAAATGAATAATATCATTCTTCCTCAAATGGTAGTGAGTTGGTTGCATAAATCTGTTATAGAGGAACGGGGTAAAACGTATTAGCGGCGATTCGCATATTTCAACATTGTCAACGATTCCTGAAAAAGGTTAGTTAAGGTCTATTCAGGACTTTTTGAAAATTAGCTACTTATCTATTTTGGTTCGGCTTGTGTGCACAGTTTCGAACAAAACTATAGTTTGAAAAGGTTCTAACAAATAAATTTGGACTAATTGGGTTTTCACTCGGAAATCACTCACAACGAAGTTATTAATGTTCCAAACGAATTCTGGTGCCATCAGTTGAAAAATAAAAAAACTAGCAGTCCACATGATTCTAATTACTAACAACATAGTAATTGATTTAAGTAGGTTCTATCTGCTACACTATACAGCTCTACTTGATTTATTCCATAAGATGGGGTAACGTTGGGACTGGGTGGGTAACTTTGGGACAGCGGGTACATTTAAGTTTATGGTGATACACTGTGTTGATTCATTCTGCAAAAATTGTGTAGGCATGTACTGCGCTACAACCTTGCGGCACACTACTCTTGAGGCATAAGCGAAAGTTTCATGAAAACAAGAATTTTGAAAAATAAATAGAAATAAATAAAACCTAACTGCATAACGAGTGTAGTGAGATAGGGTTTAAGGTATTTAATTTAATTTAAAGGGCTAGAGGTATTAAATCAAATTTAAGGTATTGTACAGACAAAATTGTTGGTATAGATAAAAAAATATTCATACTACAATAAATTGTTACTTTGAAGCTCTGTTAATTTGTTAAAAATTATTGTAAATGCAGTTGGAACCTTTTCAAAGCAAGACCTCGAGTTGTAAACCTTACCATGATTCCAACTAATATTATGCTTGCTCATGTTGTTTTTGGTCAGAGATTTCGGAAGGTATTGCCTACGTCTAGAGCTTGTAATTAGCGGCACGCGAGGTAATTTTAACGGCCTTCGGAAGCTCTCTGGAAACTATGATAAACTGAGGGGGTTAAAAATGGTAGTAGAGTAAGTTTTTTTTTCTTTTGTTCAGAAAATGAATGTTTTTGTAAGTTGACGATTTTCACTTACCACCCTCTTCTTAGCATAAATACGTATTTTCAGACTTAGGGGAAGTGAAAGTAAAAATTATGGACGCTATATTTATTTAGATGTCATTCTGGGTATTTATATCGGTTAAGATACCCTATAGACAAATTTTAATTTTTATATCGCTGTATACAATTAAATATTAAATACTACAAACGATAGCATATATGAAAACCGTACATATGTATGTGTACATAATATTGTAGGAGTCCGTATTACATTAAGTTCATGTTACCTACTGAAGCCTGTTGTGATATTTCGGTTGCAATCGCTCGTATTCCTTTGATTCTTTCATTACAACTATTTTCCCTTACGATCTCTTATTTCTGCTTTAGTTAATTATCAAATTCATTCTTATAATTATATTTAACTATTTTAAGTATCAAAAATTAATGTGAAGTGATTAATTATTTCAAATATTTTTTTTTTTAACTTTTATTATGATATTTACAACTGTATTAGTATGAATACATCAAGTAAATGTGTACATAGGAATATAATCACATGAAACACGCTTGTTGAGAAATCACCTATTGGTAGCACTCTACTTCAAATATTAAAAATTAAAGGTACTTTAGAAGAAGCTAATATTGAAAATTAGCTATTTAAGCCCTGTTGAAGAACATCAATGAGAATAAAACCTACATTATATTAAAAAGTGCTTAATAATACACCGATATAGTGAGTTTCACCGTTTCTGAGAAAATCGTAAAAATATGTTAAATCGATTATATTAAGTACCACTTCAGGTTTGCCGATTTTCCGGGATACACACACACACCATTTTTCGGGACTTGGTTGTGTGGACTCAAGGGACCTCCATACGTGTATTTTCGTTGAAAACTCAGATTCAAAAATTTTCTCAATCGCAATACTCACCCTTATCATATATCACATACATGGATAGATAGATAGAAAAAAAACC